ATCTTTGCTGTATTAGCATCTCACTATTCAAATGCTACTTCCTAATATCAAACATAAAACTATACAGCAGCAAAGTAAAATGTACTGTGACATGTCAGCATGTTGTTGGCCGACGGGATGTGGAATGAGTTACCACGAAGACAGACTCTTGATAAACGGTTGCTAAGTTACGCAACAGTGAAATGAGGTTATGCAACACGCTTCTAAGCACCAGTCGGTAAAAAATACTTCTGTGTAGACGCGATGACATCATACTGCAGTAGTTAGTGGGGGTCACATGACCTCTGTTTCCGCAAGTGACATCACACGTCCCCTCTCCAGGACCGTTGCTACGCAACGGTCCGTAAACACTACTTCCACGCTAGGCTGTGACGTCACGCAACCGTGAAGCAAGCTGCATTTTCTGCCTGTCGGTTTGAGGGTTTATGACAGAAACTGGAATACCTAAGGAGTTAACCCCGTGTGGAGGCGGGGTCGAATACCTCCACCGTGACCCTGCGAGTCGTAAGAGGCGACGAAAAGGAAGTCTCAAATCTGAGACAGTAAAATATGGTCACGAGTCCCAAGGGACTCGGACCCAAGAAAGAATGCGCAGGCAAGGAACAGCATATACAAAATACAGACCCGTCCTCTTGTCAGGGAGGGCGCCACACAAAAACAAGACCGTAACTGTCAGACAGTAATAAATATCTGGTCATGAGCCCAAGATGGGGCTCGAAACCAAGACTTACTGACTAACTGACATTCAGTCGCAATGTGACCTTTACTTTGACTTTGACTAAGGAGTCAGTTCGCAATATTGAGCAAGGAGAATAATGTTTTTATATACTTTATATATGAAACATCTTACATTTGGCTTCAGTCAAAACTCTTTTGTTACTACAGCTGTACATCAAAACTCATATATTATTATTGTGAACCATGTTTACAACTGTCTGAGATACCGTGCTGACAGGTGTTCCTAGGTCTTGTAACCAACTGTAAGAAAAGCAAACATTCATATTAGCAAAGTAATATTACTGATGCAGTCAAGCTGATATCACAATCCATTACTTCGCACGTTCATTAACAGTGAACCTGGAAAATGGTGATGTTAATTTCTGGAGCATACAGTCTAGAGACGAGAAATTGGAAGTAATGTTACGAACTAGACCCAACAGTTTAACACAGTGAGAGAAAATTTAATTGACCTGTAGTTATTATAGGATTCTGACGATGGTGTATAACACACTGATATATTGGGTATCTGGACTTTATCCATCCTAGTCCTCAATCACTGGGTCCAGTGATTGAGGCTAGCTCTTTCTAACGGACCCAACAGAATAGGTGTTCCCCCTTTTCCTTCACCTGAGGACGGAAACAGATCCAGTTTCCGAAACGTCGTGTTTTTGTTATCTTAAAAACTAGGACGATGGATAAAGTCCAGAAACCCAATATATCAGTGTAATTGACCTGGTTATGGAAATATAGCTTAACACCAATAAACATTCCCAGGTCTTATAGAATCGGTCCGGGCTATTGACGATTGACATAGTTTATAACTGTAGATAAGTAAGTTGGTTTTCCTGGAGAAGGATATAACTTTAGTTTTACTGATGTTGAGTTTCATACAGTTAGCAATGCACCAACCTTGTACAGAGTTAATGTCAGAGTGAAGTAGATAGTAGTCCTGAGAAGAACTAATGGCTCGGTAAATTTTGATGTCTTGAGCAGAAATCAGACAGAGTGGGCAACTGCATCACACATGTCGTTAATAAATACATCGAAGAGAAGGGGTCCCAAGGTCCCTGAGGAACACCTGAGAGAACTTTGAAAGGTGAGGAAAGAACAGAAACACGGACCTGAGATTTCCGGTTGGACACCGCAGGATGCATATATTTCTAGCCATAACTTTAATTGGCCTCGTTTGTTTGTTTTCAAACGAGTACCACTCTATTTGTGTTTGATTAAGGGCTCTAGTTATGTCCCTATAGTCCTTTTCTTCTTCTGCATTTATTTTAATGTCTCCACTGTTCAGTAGTACTGTTTGCAAATTAGGGCTCTTGTTTTTCTTTAGATGGTTGTATATTTCCTACCAATTCTGGAGTTTTCCAACTATTATTGGCTGAGGTCTTACTTTTTTTCTGCACGTTCGATTGTTGGATATGTTCCGTCTTCTGCTGTGACAATTCCTGTGGGGCAATTGTTTTTCTCTTCTTGGTTTCTTTAGGATCAATTCTGTCTCTCGACTTAGTTCTTCTTCATCTGTATATCTGTATTCATCCATTACTTGGTCTTCACTTGGTGTATTTTCCGTTTCACATTTGTCTCTTTGGGACATACTTAGTTCTTCTCGCAATGTCTGAATTTCTTTCTTATGTAGTTCTACAGTCTGTTCGAGTTCTCTCTCGCCATTTGCCACATCATCTCTTTCTCTTCGTGCATCATACAACTTCTTGGTTTTTCAGTTCCGAAAGGGGGCCCGGCCACTACCTCGAAAATCTCGGCTGTTCGAACTTGTCAACTTCGCACTTTTTCCCGTGGGAACACATCAGTCTCAATCTCACTCTCATTCTAACTCACTTTTCTTTAGCGTGGGCGTTCCTGCGACCGCGAACTAATTTAACCGATTCGACCAGTTTAAAAATCTCTGTCGGGCGAAAACGAGCAGGAACGCTGTCCGCCGTGAGTCCTCCTCTCTCAAAAACCACGGAGAGGTTGGATGTTGTGTGAATGTTGATTTATGTTATACATGTCCCCTTCGTTTCTTGTCTGCTGTCTAAAATCATAAAAATTAGCATAAACGAGCACAAAATTATAATTTTCCCTGTGGTTCTGGATGGGTGTGAAACTTGCTCTCTGATATTAAGGGAGGTACATAGAGTCAGGGTGTTTGAGAACGGCGTTGAGGAGAATATTTGGACCGAAGAGAGAGGAAGTGACAGGATGTAGGCGAAAACTGCATAATGAGGAGCTCCATAACTTGTACTCTCCGACAAATATAATTAGAGGGATGTAGTCAAGTAGGATGAGATGGCCAGGGCATGTAGTATGAATTGGGGAGAAGAGGAATGCATATAGGATATTGGTATGAAAGCCACGGCGTTGTATGTACTTGGTTTTGGTTCTGTTAACTACTGATATTTCAGTCCTGTAATTTAGCTTTACCATGAAGTGGTCCGAGTTACTTTAGGCACCTCTATAGCAACGCACACCGATAAGGCTCTTTGCTTGTCTTACATCTATCATAGAATGGTCAATTTAATTTCTTGTCCGACCATTGAGAGATATCCATTTTTTCTTACGGACACTCTTATGAGAAAACGTACTACTTTTAACAAAGTTTCCGGTGACTGCAAAATTGGCCGTCATTACTCTGTTGTTATTAAAGTTATCGTGAAGGTTATGGTGTCCCACGTTTTGTACGTCCTACAGAATCTTTTCCTGTCTTCGCCTTTGCACCTCCCATAATAATTTGGACGCCATATCTTACTGATGTTTCCCTTCATATGGAGATGGCATAAATACTAATCTACTGACAATTATTGGGTTTTTGGACTTTGTTCAATGTCCGGTATTCTAATAACTGCAAACACAACATTTCGGAAACTGGATCTGTTTCGGTCCTCAGGTGGGGATAGGACACCTACTCTGTTTGGTAGCTTACAAACATATATTGCTTTTTTATGCTTTGTTTCAGAACACAATGAAACTTTATAAAAAAAATGGCAGTCGCCTTACTAGTTGGAGCCCTCACGGTCTTGGTGAAAAACTTTCAGAGTAAGTAACATATGTAGTGTAACTCGTAACTACCAATTATAATAATAGTCCCTGATTTTATGAAAACTATCAGCTATTTAAATAGATTAATGAAGTAGAACATATGAAACTACTTGTAAAATAGTTAACCAGAATCGAAAATGAAGCTACTCAATCGTCTTGTCAATCTGTCCGGTTATTTAGTGTAACGTGTTAATGTCTCTCCTGCATTTAATTACATGAGACACACACACAATGACATTCAGTTAGCTTTGAGACACTACATTTATGGACGCAATACAAGAGTATCTTCAGGTATTGATCTTACTGTACAGTGCAGCTGGAAATCCGACACGTGCAATATATCGTCCCTCCTTCGTAAGCTACATACTTTTACAGCTGTTAGTTTATAAACGAGTATTGGAGACCTGACGCTCTTATTTGCATATAGAGAAACATGCAATTGCAGCTTCAAGCCGGAACTGTGGGCCACGTGGCTGAAAGTTGTCAGTTCCAGATACAAACACGTTCTGCACCTTGTAATGGATTTGTTCAAACAACTCCATTTGAGATGCATTCTATACACAGAGCATATATAAAACTTGTAAGTCCACGTGCTTCAGCTTCGTAACAATTACACGGATTTTGTTGTTGGCTTATAACTTTGAACATTCAGGCGCAGGAAATCAAATATGACTGGTCTATTCGCAACGCCATCGATATGTGTCTTCATGGACAAGTACTGCCTCATCACTACTTAGACCAGCTCTTATCCTCACGAAAGAAGCTTCTAACAATAGACGAAACAGCAAATCCAGCAAAGGTCATTTCAAAACCAAAAGGTCAGTACAGCTGAAGTAGGCTTTGAAGAGTTCGAAAAGCCGCTACACGGTGATTGCAGTCGTATGTCCTAATCAAACGCCAACTCGGTGTTTTTTTAAAGAAGAATAACGTACCGGGATTCTAACCCTAGATTTCTATTCAATGTGTCAAGGTGGGGCCGAGTCCAGTTGGCATGTTGGTCATTAGTGGACCTACTGTTACAGCCCTGGATGATAGATGTTGTGCCCTAAAGACCGACTCCCGGTAACTTGTTAAAAGAGTATTTAAATTTTTATATTTTAGGGAAAATGTTGGCTAGAATAGAATTGGTTTTGGGAAACGCTGGTGAGACGTATGAAAGCGAATGTATAGAGGGTTAAGAAACTTTAAAGAATTCCTACGTATGGAGTTAGACGGGCATTAGCCTATGACGCGGGAGATGTTCTGTCAGCATAATGACGTTGAAGGTATACCGAAATGCTAGCTTTACAAATTCTACACTTGAGTGCTAGGGGAACGTGGGGAGGTAAAAGGCTTAGCCAAATGGACTGTCAGTAAGGAGGCGTGTCCAACCCTAAGGAGCCCAGCCACTTGGGATAAGACGTCATTAGAGGCGGACTTGCACCCTCGGGGAAAATAATTAGTTGCAAAAATAAAGGGTATATAACCAGGGGAGTAAATTAGTATGGGGATTATTCAAACAGTAATTTTGGGCAGTTGTCGCGGAGGCTATGCTGGAAGAAGCACCGACCGGGGGCCGGCCAACGCCATCCGTCTGCAGTCTCAACGCAAAGTAAGTGGAACTACTCTTATCGCCATGCTTAATAAGTGTGATATTATTAAAGTGAAACTCCTCCAATGGGACATGAGTTAGGAACATTACGAAAAGTGTACAGGGCGTAAGAGAGACTCAACGGAGTGATGCAGAAGTAGACATGTGTAATGTAGAGACTGCAGAGGGTGTGTCTAGCTGCAGGGGTGTGTAAAGATATATATATATATATATATATGCAGGAGATGAGCGAGATGTAGTGGAGATACATGGACGAGGTCCAAGAATCGCCTAGGAAGGTGCAATGTGTAATCCGACACCAGTCGGCTCTCTAATTGTGATATTACTAAAATGTATATAGTTGTATATTGATGGTTTATAAATAATATAGGGTAGCATAGGGTGAGAATGTGGGGTTTCGTTGATTTGATTTCCTCCCTTACCACATTTCGCACCTGCGCCCTTCTGACAAGCCCTGTGAATAGCGCGCCCCTAGCCCATGAAGCAATGGCCGAGGAAGCAATTTAGTCGTTATTTTTGCCCCCCACCACCTGTTACTGCAGTACAATAGATGAGTAAGAAATATTTTGGTGGTATGAGAATTGGCAGGAGAAACCGAGGTAACTAACACCAATCACAGTGGCCTCGCGGACCAAGGCACGAAACGTCCCCGCCCGCCAGAACTCCGGGACCGGGGGCCCGAAACCCACTCAAGGCATGGATGTCTGTTGTGTGCGCCTACCCCGTACTTGTGCCGCTCAACGTACAGGCAGAGTTACGCAGGAGCTGCGAACCAATTAGGTTTATCAGTTTCTAGACTACTTTCCTCAATTTACAAAAATGAAACTAGGCTTATGACATCACCTTCCTGCCTGTGTGTCTGCAAATTCCCCCCCCCCCCAATAAAATTATGAATGCCTTAACCGATCTTTATGAAACATGTTATGTTTGACATGCCACTTGTGTTTTATAGGACAAAAGTAATTCCAATTTCTAGTTCTGAACATTCCAATAAGTCATGCCGACCAGCTACCTTTCCTTCTGTTTTCTCCGTCACCAGACTCCTATCTCTCGTGTGTCGCACCTTCTCTCTCGTTTCACGTAAGAACCAACATTCTGTTCTACTTACATCTCTGTCATGTGAAATTAATATATTTTTGAGAAGCTAATGCCCGCTTAGCCCATTAAATACTTCCCAGCCTCTTATGGGACCCAGGGGTTAATTACCGTGTTCCCAATAGTTCGCAACTATGCCCTATTCCAACCCACCTGAAATCCGTCCACACTCTGACATATTTCCCTAAAATGCATTTTAATATAATCCATGTAGCGTATACAAGTACCTCGTACATGGTCTGCGCCTAAGTCCCCCAAGTAGTCTCTTCTCTGGAGGATATTCAGACAAAATGTAGTTCATAGCAGCAAGCCACGTGCTTCATGTTGGTCTTACTTCCTTCGCTGTTCGGACCGTGGATGGAGGCGATATGTTCCTCCGAAACGTCGGTTCAGTTTCGGCTGACTGCGCGGCATTGTGTCCTGGTGGCTATAGCTTATAATGGTCACCCCTGTGGGAATGTGAAATACAGCAAAAATATTGTTTTCAGTTTACACCAGTGGACAACATGATGAAAATTGTTTGAGTGCCAGGAGGTCTGAGAACAAAATAGAGTTTTAAATCACAATAACTCCATTGCGTGTCACATTTTGTGCTGTGGGTTTCAACGTGTGGTATTGGTTTTCTTCCTGCACCTATTGTGGTCTCTAGAAGCTTGCATGAAGAACACATGCGGTTTTATTGCCCATGTTGAGATGTTGTGTCATGGGGTTTTCCGCAGTTCACATGTTACCACGCATTTATTTCTCCATACCCTCTGGTTGTAGTGTTGTTGAGTTGAGTCTCAATTCAAATGGATCCGTTTGCATTGCTCATGTATCTTTTATGGAGACTGAAGTCTGAATTCTGCGCCAGTGGTGTGACCACAATACGTACCCTGCTGCGACATCTGCAGAAGTTATGAAACGGTTTTCTTCTCTTTTCATGTGGGATCTTATTATTTTCTTTACTTCATACATCTTTGTAGCATCTTAAGTTGAATTTGTCTCTCCGACTTCAGAAGTCCTAATGCCGCTGGACACGAGTATGTACATAATTTTGATTTCTATCTTCTGGAGTGCGGAGAGCCGGGAATCAGCAGTCGGTATAGCGACTGACTACGGGCTGGACAACCGAGGGGCCAGAGTTAGAGTCCCAGTAGAGTCAAGAATTTCCTCTTCTCCACATCGTCCAGACTGGCTCTGAGGTAAGTGTGAGGGTAAAGCAACGGGGGCGTGAAGCTGACCACTCACCTCCATATAATGGCGAGGTCCAGAAAATGTGGACCTATACATCCATTTCCCCATACGTTTTCATTGCCTAGTGCTTAATTAGTTAAGCACAGGGAAAACTTTACCTTTTACTTTACCTTCATCTGGATATTCTGTATATATAATTTACTGTTGGTGAATCATGAATTGGACAGTATGCACGGAGCGTCTGATAAAAACCACGAAGATTTTAGTCAGGATAGCTTTCTCCAAGTGCCGGGATTTCCCTTCATTAGGAAATGATTTCTTCCTTTCCAGTTATCATGCGATTTCCTTTATGGTGACAAAGGGTTGGTATGTATAATTACAATGGTCTTGCTAATGTTGCAATAACTTGAGTATATCAACAGCCTTTTCTTTCTGTTCACAGGCATACAAATGTGGCAAGAAGAAGGCAGAGGAGCGGGATGTGCAGCGTCATGATTAAAAATAGTGATGGTGCCAAACTGTCCCCCTGTTTTAATCCTTGATTTGTTTTAAAGCATTCCGTTAAATGGTTCTGGATTATAACTTGATTGATTGTTTCTGGTTAAATTAATTATTCTACTTAGTTTTGTTGGAATACCAAAAGTGGACATAATCATCCTTAATTTCTTCGTTATTATTGTATCACATTCTTGTTTAAAATCTATGAAGCTCAGGTAAATATCTGTATTAAATTCCCAGAATTTCTCCGTTATTTGTCTCAGGGTGAATAAATTGTCTGTTGTTGACCTATTGGATCTGAATCCTGATTGATATTCTCCTATTATTTTTTCTATATATGGATCCAGTCTCTTTTTCAGTATCCTTGTTAAAATTTGATACGCTGTCGATAGTAATAATATACCTCTATAGTTACTACATGTTAATTTATACCCTTTTTTAAATATGGAACAGTTAACTAAACAACAAAATGAACACCAAAGAGCAGAATATTTTACGAGAATCTAAACTCCAGAATTCAAGAAATTACCATTTTTTTTTGCAACCTGGAGGTTCAGTACCGTGCACCTGATCCAGTTCATTTAGACTGATATGATTAAATTGCAAGGGTTCCTACTACTACATAATGGCATTCGATAAGAGTTCTACAGGGGAAATATTTGTGGACAGTGGATCATGTATTAAAGTTGGTACAATCACTGAAATTTTGATAATATTTTCAGAAGACTGGAATACCGACGGAGTGCCTTATAAATATATAGTTTTGTATCGAAGAACTTTTACTTAGAAATGTGTGGCTTTATATTGTTTTCACTCTAACATAAACTAATTTCAGGCGAAGTGAAATGTAGAGCCTACAAGAAAACCTACAAATTTCTACCAAGTTCTTATTTAAGTGTATGCTAATTGTACACCAAACTTTCATTATAAGTATGAACGTTGGTTACTGTGAACTTACAGGTATGCCTACATCTATACAGTTTACTGGGCAAGAACAAACATTTGCTCGTGAGCATACTATTTCTGTAGTCGTGGGTTAAATAATATTGAAAGAGAGTAATAAATTCCCTCACAACCGAACAATATAATTTAAAATAATAAGGATTTCTGATTTTAGTCTCAATTCTTATTAATTACCTTTTACTACAATGACATTATTTAGAGTCATATTAATACGAACCCACATGTCACCGACAGACAGATTTAAAATGTCGATATTCTGGACAGGGCCAGAAAGTCTCTGGAGCCCACCCAGCCTCATGTCGAATGGGTACCGCGGGCTTTTCCCCGGGGCGTGAAGGTGACCATTAACCTCCGTCTAATTAATGAAGCACAGGGTAACTTCACAGTCGATCTATCTATGTCTCTACAGCCTTTGTGGACCTTGACCGGTATTTCAGTTTCTTAATCTATACACAGTCCTCAGGATTCCTTGGACGGGGAATCAGCCCATCGCAAGGTCGCTACATACACACAGAACAACGCAAATAGAATAAACGCAACACATACATTCATGCCTTGAGTTGGATTCGAACCCACGACACCAGTGTTCGAGCGGGCGAAGAAGGTTCATGCTTTAGACCGCGCGGCCACTGTGATCGGCAGCGCTAATCTATTTAGCATTCAGAAGTTTACCTGGAGGGACTAAGGACAATCGCAAAATCCCACAGAATAGCCGATGTCCCACCCTAGAACCAAGATCGAGTAGTCTTGAATAAACGTTTGGAGAATTACAGCTAAGCCAACCTGTTCAGTATACTCGTTTTTAAAACCACGTGAGTCATAAACGTGCAAATGCATTACACATTTCTCGTGACCAGTTAATTAAAACAAGTATTACCTATTAACACTTACATTAACGGGCACTATGTGTCGACAACAGGAATATGTATATGAGACGTACTGCCAGTATATTAACATACAGCTCAGTTACCTGCAAAATATCACAAAGCGCGAGCAACACTTAGGAAGTTAGAACAAACAAAACATATTCCGTGGCCCGTAGTCCGCAAGCGACCTATACCGACCGAATTCCGCCGTTTGTCAGCGAAGTTGTTGCCAACTTTAGCGGAGAGAAGGTGTCACGTGGTCAGCGCAACAGATCCCCACGGCCGTCAGTCTCGGCTTTCTAGACCGGTACGTCAAATATTCATATGCAGGCCCGGTACATAAATTATGTAAAATTCTTAAAGAGTCGTTAGGTTATCATGCTGACAAGTAAATTATTCGTGTAATAATTAACCATACATGATTGCGGGACATAACTTAACATACTGTGATATGACGCCTGAAAGACGAAATATTTCATTGCTAGGCAACGGCTCTCGCGGAAATGAGGATGCACGCAACAATAGAAGAAACCATTTATAAGCAACGGCTCGGTAAACACAAGAACAGGTTATTATTGGAAACTGTTTTCTGTTCGGTCCGCGTAAAGTGTATTTCTTGAAGGAGTCAGCTGAAATTCTCGGTCAAGCATACGACCGTTCAAGTGACTAGACTGCGGTAGTAGCGGAAGCTACTAGAAATAGGGCATAATCTGCTAGACTGACAGAGGCCCTATATATATATTTTATATACATTTGATAACATATTTAACATGTAAAATGTAAATATCCTTTACATTATGACAAATGACTTACTACTGCAGACAATTACTCTGACAAAAGACAGACCAGTCCTTCATCAGAGAGGGTGCTCCACAACAAGACCGAAACTGTCAAGCAGTAATAAATATCTGACCATAAGCCTCAGATTGTGCTCGAGAACAAGGCTGACTGACTGACCGTCAATTGCAATGTGATTTTTACTTTGAGATTATCACAAAATTTTAACTCGTGTGGAGGCGGGATCGAATACCTCCACTGTGACACTGCGAGTCGTAGGAGGCGACGAAAAGGGAAGTCTCAAATTATAGACAGTAAAATATAGTCGCTATTCATAGACTTCAAGAAAGCCTATGTTTCAGTTAGGAGGGAAGTATTCTACAACATGAAACTAGTTAGGTTGATTAAAATGTGTTTAAACGAAATGTATAGTAAAGTCCGTGTAGGTAAACATTTGTCTGATGAATTTCCTATCCAGAATGGTCTAAAACAAGGAGATGCTTTATCGCCACTCATTTTCAACTTCGCTTCAGAATATGCCATTAGGAAGGTCCAGGGAAACCAGGTGGGACTGAAATTAAACGGGACACATCAGCTGTCTGTCTATGCCGATGATGTGAATCTACTGGGTGAGAATATACGTAGGTACCAAAGAGAAAAACACAAAAACTATAATTGACGCAAATAAAGAGGTTGGTCTAGAAGTAAACACAGAGAAAACTAAGTATATGTTACTGTCTCGTCACCAAAATGCAGGGCAAAATCATGACATAAAGAAAGGAAACAGATGTTTCGAAAATGTGGCACAGTTCACATATTTGGGAACAACGATAACAGATCGAAACCTGATTCAGAAGAAAATGAAAAGGAGATTGAACTCGGGTAATGCTTGCTACCATTCAGTCCAGACCCTTTTGTCTTCTCGTCTGGTGTCCAAGAACATAAAAATTAGAATATACAAAACTACAGTTTTGCGTCTGGTTCTGTATGGGTGTGAAACTTGGTCTCTGATATTAAGGGAGGAAGATAGACTGAGGGTGTTTGAGAATGGGGTGTTGAGGACAATGTCTGGACCGAAGAGAGATAAAGTGATAAGAGGTTGGAGAAAAGTGCATAATGAGGAGCTTTATAACATGTACTCTTCTCCAAGTATAATTAGAATGCTCAAGTGAAGGAGGATGAGGGGGGCAGGGCACGAATAGAGGAGACGAGGAATGCATATAGGATATTGGTGGGAAAGCCAGAAAAAATTAGATCACTGGGAAGACCAAGGCGTAGGTGGGTGGACAATGGATCTTGGAGAGACAGGATGGGAGGTATCAATTGGATAGATCTGGCTCAGGATAGGGACCAGTGGAGGGCTCTTGTGAACACGGTGATGAAACTTCTCGTTCCATAGAATGCTGGAAAATTCTTGAGTATCTGCAGAATTTGCGGCTCCTCCAGAAGGGCTCAGCTCCATGAGTAAGTAAGTAACATATAGTTGCGAGGCCCAACGGACTCGCACCCGAGAAATACTGCGCATGGCAAGGGCCAGCAGCATATATAAACGACAGACGCGTCCTCTCGTTAGAGAGGGCGCCCAACAAAAATAAGACCGTAACTGTCAAACAGTAATAACTATCTGGTCATGAGCCCCAGATGGGCTCGTAACCAAGACTTACTGACTGACTGTCAGTCGCAATGTGACTTTGACTTCGAGAATTTATAGTCGAGAGTTAAAGTCTGCGAAGATGAATGGGGAAAGTTAACAGTTGTAGCAGAGAATTGGTTTCAGAGCTGCGGAGTTGGTAGTTGGCACATGATGGAGGGGTGGAGCCAGTTCAATTGAGAGTTTAAAGTCCTGCAGTGCAAAGAAGACCTTACATGTGCTGCAGTACAGTGATATTTGGAGTGTGTGATTAAATGAGTCTGTTATAGCTGGTGTCTTAAAATCCGTTGCCAGGAAACGGACAGTGAAGACTATAATAGACTGAGTACATTAGCGGACATTAGAGTAGATTAGCGGTAGCGCTGTAATTGCGTGTAGTTCCGAGCGCTCTGTATAAGTAGTCAATAAATCCAATTACATCAATCCGTACCCCGTCTTGTAGTCACATCCCTAAATCGTGACAATACATACAGAATAAGGGGCACGCGGTAGCGTAGTTAGTTGAGGCACTATGTTACAAGCCTCAAGGTCACGGGTTCGAGTCCATATCAGGTAGATTATTTTCAATTGGCCTAATCCTTCCAGCCGCACTATGGCCCCGGGTTCGACTTTTTTTATTGCTAGTGGTGTGGGACGAAGTCCCTTGTACTGCGGCCACTTCTGGCCTATTGTACTGGCCCCAGATGATAGGTGAGGGTGATTGTGGAGCAATTGGTGGAATGAAGATTGGCAGGGGAAACCGAATTAATCGGAGAAAACCTGCCCCACCCCCACTTTGTCCACCACAAATCCCACTTGACCAGACCTGGAATCGAACCCGGGCCGCCACGGTG